AACTTTGATCCAGGGATAATTCGTTGCTGTATGTAAATATAATTATTTAAAAACATTATGTAAAAACATCTTTGAGTAATAAAAAGTATTACTGGAACTCCTCTCTCGTGTCAGAGAAATAAGTATTTCATACTTTTGCATGAAACCTTACCAAAATTTTTACATTTTGTACATCAGATCGACGAATTTTCATGAATTCTTAATAACCAAACGGTTCTAGCAGCACTTTCCAAACACATTTAATACATTAAGAATATAAGCTCTTATATAATTAATACAAACGAAAATTATGTTTCAAAGAATGAGGCGTAGTGTTTAACTTTTGCATCCTTGTTAAGTTATTTAGATCCATACTCGGCACTTAGGGCCATTCAGCCGTGGGGATCTTCTTCGTGCCAGCGCCTACTGCGACACGGGACCTCGGTTTATGCGGTCTCACCCGAAAAACCTATCTCCAAGTCTCGCAGTGGGATTCGAACCCGCGAAGTAAAGTTAAACTCTTTATACTGCGACTATTAAGTAAAAAATCTAACTAATGCGCAACGTTGACGACTCTTTTTTGTTAAGAACGACAGACGAAAGGCCGTTTGGGATTTTAAAACACTGCCTGTCTTAATTATAAAAGAAATGATCAAAATAAATCAGCGTACCTGATTCATAATCTTGAATTCCCCGCAAATCACACATGATATTAACAGTATATGCTATTTATTACATTTTCAACAGTGAAATACTGTGATTTATTTATTGAATAAAAGTGATATATCTCACAGTGTGAAAGGATACCAGAGTGATATTCTCTCACAGTGTGAAAGGATATCAAAGTAGGTAAAAATAATTTCTGGCCTGTCATAAGATAGAGATAGTTGATAGAGACTAAAACTGCCAAAGCTTCTCCAGTTATATTGTTAAAAATCCGTTTTTCAATCTCGCAATCGATTATAGCTATCATATGACGTCTCAACTATGACGTCACAGCCTATGACACCCTGTTACGAAGAGACAGAGTCAAAGGGGAAAATCAAAGAAAATGTAATAAACAGAAAATTCAATGTTTTGTAGATGAATGTGGAATTTATTTCACTCGTGAGACAGGATTTTTTGACATTTTCACTCGTGTTTCGCACTCGTGAAAATATCAAAAAATCCTGTCAACTCGTGAAATAAATTCAATATTCATCTACCAAACATTGAATATCCTCAGTCTATTTATCTCCCATTTCATAGGTATGTTTACATAAGACCTCGTTAAGTTATTTTTTTATAAAGCAGATATTTGGTCAACAGTACTGAGTCATGGATTGAAATTCTGATCAGACTCTCTATTTATCAAACGTATACCAAAGAAAATATTTTGAAATATAAAAAAAAAAGTCGATAAAAAATCTATTTTCAATCTCTTCCTGTCGAATCCGGAAGTGTCAGAAACGCATTTTTTAACTTTAAGCACAACTAGAGATGGCAGACTATCATCCCTGAAAATTTCAGACAAAATTTTAAAGCAAAAAAATGAACAATAATTTGCAATTTAAAAAAAAGTTTTGTCATTTTTGTCCTCCAAATATCGAAATTCTATTCACAGACGCATAAATTCTATGAATTTCATAGAAAAGCGTTGAATAAATGGGACGCATTTTACTCAATTTTAAAAACAAGATGTTTTGTTATTATGGAGCACGCTTGACAACATTGAAACGTCAAAAGCAACATCGAGAAAGTTTCTCAAAATTACTCATCCATAAAAACTTATCCATAACACCTGACATCTACTTTGCTAACAGTTGTTCGAGTAAAGTTTTCGTTAGTTTGTTAGTGTTTTCAAATTATTAAGTGTAACCCTGCTTTTAAAAGTTCCGCAACAGTGATGCATACATCAGGTTCCATGACGTTACAAACTCTTTTGACCAAATTTTTAATTAAAAGCTGTTTCTTGGCAGACCGTCTATCGTCCGATTCAAAGTCTATACCACTCAAAAACTGTCTTTTCCATGTACATATACTCGTTTATGCAAATGCACAGCTCATTTTCGATATATTTCCTGGTTCATCCAACACTATAAGAGTTTGTTTTAGAGTTTTCCCGAATGCAAAGCTAATGCAATGCAAAATTGCTACTCGCTGCTTTGTGACGCCCTTCGACGTCATCGTTTTTGTGTTTTTTTAACCAAGACTATTATTCTGTCTTTAGAAATTGATACCTCTTAAAAGAAGCAATGTGTTACATTACATTTTGGCATCTGAAGTAATATAACAATACTTAATTTGAACATTTAATTTTTTCTTCGTTTAAGATCTATTTTTCATAGGAATAACTATAGACATTAAAAGTTTATAGTTAGTAAATTACTCAAATTTGACCCTGATCCGTGACCCCGTTTTTGTTGTCTTAATTTTTGATAATTTTGTTAAATATAAAGATATATTTATTTTGCTAAAAAATACTTGAATCTATTGTTAAAATATGTGTCCCAAATTTGTTTACAATATGCCGTTAAATGAAAAGTTATGATAAAAGTCTACAATATTCCTTTAATGCCCCTCATAATGAGGAACCATGGGGTTGTTGGTTTTAGCATATTTCTTTGAGATAATAGGCACCATCCCCTATCATCAAGACCATATCGAAGTCGTCAAACAGCTGCAGTTTGGCTCTTTGTCATGTCTTACATCTATATCCATGCTAGACCGGGTGAAGTATAAAAATGATGTTTAGATGGTAAGACTCCAAAAAAATTCTAAAGTTTTCAAAAACATCAGCGAGTAATATAGCATCCTTTTTCATACAAAACATGATAATTTCCAAGGGTTACCATGTGAAAAGTTTCCAATATTTTTTGGCATGAAAAGAATCACCTTCAGAGATGTCAAACTCAGACAGCTCACTGTAAAACACAGTGAATAAACCTCTTCCTGAGAAGATGTCTCTCTATTTCAGACGAGAAATGTTGTGATGTTTTGAAATCTTGATGTTCCTTACTTAGCTAAATTTAGTCGCCAGGCGGGCGACTACAGTGGTAATTTTTCCGTCGTTAATCACACTCCGTCTTTCGATAAGACGAGTTCATACAATTGAAGCGAGTTTGCAGAATTTACTGTTTTGACTCGTGGGCAGTATGTACCGGCCCTCTCTTTTTTTTCTGAACTTGTATCCCCCGTTATTCTATCTCTATTATACCATCGGATATATATAGAAATTCAATTACATGCACAATTATTTGGACGTTCTCAGCAATTTTTAACAACCATCATACCATCTCCCATCCCGGTGTATTTAAGTTTTGAAAAATATTATATTATCTTACACCTGGTGCATAACAACACTGAAAGGCAGTTGGAATCAATTTACAATATGATGTTTTAATTTCACATCAGGGATTTGCTATTTTTCCCTTTTGAAAAAATCAATCCAGTTTTCTTTCAGATGCACTATCATTTCGATCAACAGCCAACTCGTCCTGTACTTAGAGAAAATGAGTATGGCATTAATCTTTCCTCTCTATATTTGTTTTTATTTAATCGCTTTGTATGCATTTCATTAATAGAAAAGAACAAACAACAAAATTGTAAGTTGCTGTGAAATATGGAGATAACGAACAGTATTCAAGCTCAAAGTCCATTATAAATCGGGGAGCAGATGAAAAACACTGGCCTACTAAAACATTAGAAGTGGGACCAGGTGCCATGGAGGAGTAAGCATCCCCTGTGTGACACAAATAAGCTACAGCTGTGCGTTTATACAAATTAAAGCTTTCTGTTTCGGTGTTACACTAGTTCATACACAAACCTTGTTTCTTATCTATTCAAGATTGAAATACCTCTCTTTGATTATACATTACTTTTAATCAAAATGAAAGATTCTAAGGTATCTTTTTTAAAAGTTTTTATCGAACAAAAATTTTACCACCTTTCAGTCATTCTGAACTTGATATTGTTCATGTTGATTTTAAGTAAATGGATATGATATATACTGGTAATATGTATAAAACTTAGTATGATGGACAGACAAGACAATGACAGTATTATATATGCATTTGCTTCGCAGTCAATAAGACCACTACCATTTTCTGAATTTACATGTTAACAGGATAAATAAATGTATTCCAAAATTTCAATCAAAAAATATTAAAAGGACAAAACCATTCTTCTATCTCGTTTGTGATTTTTATTCACGCAAATGAGTCTTATGACACCTGCAGCACTGTGACTTGATACTAGAAAATCCTTGTTTGTCAAAAGTACTGGGGCTCACACGCGGCTGACACCTGAACCCTCACTTCTGAAAGCTATATATATTTACTAATTTCTCATAAATATTCTTGACAAGATGATACGTGTGTTGAACAATCTCCCATCGGTTGAGAGATTCATACTTCAACTTGCTAAATAAATGATCAGAAATTTACAAACAAAAGCTTTATATCATATTGTCATAATTAGCTGATTTTCATAAACATATGCTTCAAAGCAAAAGCTATGGTTGTTTAACTGGAATTCCCCTTTTGTATTGATCAACTTTGAAAAAATCAATAACTGAAACTCCAGGTCCTTTGCTAAATAAATGATCAGAAATTTACAAACAAAAGCTTAATATCATATTGTCATAATTAGCTGATTTTCATAAACATATGCTTCAAAGCAAAAGCTATGGTTGTTTAACTGGAATTCCCCTTTTGTATTGATCAACTTTGAAAAAATCAATAACTGAAACTCCAGGTCCTGTAACAATCTGAAAGTAATATTTTTTTCAAATATGAATTCTTTCGGTAATGATTGGAATTCAGTTTTCAGTTTTCTTGAAGTACGCTACACCCTATTATACAAATTTGCTATATTTAAAACTCTCATTCTAAAACGGTATCTTACAAATGTAAAAAATAAATATTTGCATTCATTAAAATATGCACATTCTCCTTTCATACATCACATTTTTTCCCATTATTGCAGAACTGTAGAGTGAATCAGTTTAGTTTTGTGCAGAATATACGTACTACAACACTTACCAAAAAGTATTATCTGAAGACAGACTCTAACAAAACTAGTACATTGTTAAGGATATAACAGCTGCTGAATCATCCCAGGTCTGTCGATTGAGTGTTTGCAACACAGAAATAAAATAAAATCAATAAGCGGCATCCGCAGTAGTTTCGTATTTTGTAAACAAAAGAACCATTATTCTTTCTTGGATGTTTAGTAAAAAAGCCTTGTTGCAAACCTGAAAGGATATGGAAAGACCTAAGTACGTTTACCTATTACAGTGGCGCCGCGGTAATCCGGACGCCAATAATCCGGACGCTTCACCTTCCGGACGATATTTTTTGGGAACCGATTTTTTTCCACGTTATTCTGTCTCATTAATCCGGAAATTCGCGTTCCGGATCCGGACGGTTAATTTCTACTACAAAACGCAATATTTCATTTAAAAATGACTCGTTTATCCGGACGGTAATTTTTCGAGGAACGACTTTTCACATCTTTCTTGCAGTAGTGATAATTATTGTAAAAACATTGTCCGTGGAGTCAGTTTGAAGGCGGTTACCTGTGACCTCTAAACAATAGCGTCTATAACTAGTTATAATTGTAACGGGGACCGTTACAGATGTTCCCCAAACGCTCCCCAACACCCGTTTGGTGTCTTTTTTCCTGTAAGCTTCATTAAATAAGGCAATGAAGTATATAAGTCTTTTTTGTATTTCACGCGCGCGCACATGCATGCATGTGCAGGATGACCATGTCATCCCATCTATACTATTAATGCATCTTTATATTCTCAGTATCAAAACATTTCATAAAAAAATATAGAAGTTCCGGCTAAATCAAGCATATTGGTCATCTTAGCATTGCGCGCACGCGCACCTGCATGCATGTTCATAATAACCATGCCATTTTGTGTACACTTATAATATGTCTGTTTATTCTTAGTATCAAAGCTTTTCATAAAAAAATATAAAAGTTACGGCTATATTAAGTATATTGGTCATTTAACACATTGCACGCGCGCGCATGTGCATGCATGTGCATGATGGCCAAATCATCTTGTCTACACTTTTAATATATCTATATATTCTTAATATCAAAGCTTTTCATCAAAAAATATAAAAATCACGGCTATATTAATTATATTAGTCATCTAACACATTGCACGCGCGCGCACGTGCATGCATATGCATGCATGTGCATGATGACCATGTCATCTTGTTGACTCTTTCTATATATATAAATATTTTGAGTATCAAAGCATTTCATCAAAAAGTATAAAAGTTACGACTATATCAAGTAAATTGGTCATTTTACGCTTTGCGCGTGCGCGCACGCGCATGCATGTGCATGTTGACCATGTCATCTTGTTCACACTTTTAATATATCCTTATATTCTGAGTATCAAAGCATTTCATTAAAAAATATAAAAGTTACAGCTATATCAAGTATATTGATCATTTTACGCATTGCACGCCCACGCACGTGCATGCACGTGCGCGCAAAATGACCTTCGTTCCGCAAATCTACATAACATGCCTATTAACCCTAAAAAGGTTTTAACTCAATTGGATGAGCAGTTTCCGAGAACACTCGCGGACAAAAAAGTACCGGAGAAGAAATAAGAATAAAAAAGAATAATAATAATAACTAGATGAGATCTCGTTGCGAGCAACGAGTAGGTCTTCCGTCTGATTTTTTGATAAGATGAGATATGATTTTGACTATGATCTTTGTTAAAAGATAATAATATATAGACTTCCCTAATTAGATTACATTCTTTTGATTTATATAACATTATCAAAGAGCTATAGATGACAGGCTTCTGGCCCCTCTGAGCCCCTAATTTGAGGGCTCAGCCCCTTTTTCTGGATATCAAATGAAAGGTCTTGTGATTTTGAAGACTTTTTGTTCAACAACTATTCAGAGATTTCTTTTCGTTGTGGAGAGATGCTGAATGAAAATATTTAGGGGCAACCCCTCCAAGTCCTTAATGGGGCCGTTTGACAAAAATTGAAAGGGTGCATATTGTTAAGAACATTATTCTGACCATCTTTTGTTTAGGATTGCTAATCAAAATATTCTCCCTTTTCGAGATATAAAGCGTCAAAGATTTAGCATTCTGGCCCCTTGTGACCCCTTATTACGTAACATATGATCAGAATCTTATCACAATCTGTTGTAAATCGTTAAGATAAACATCTTTGCTTCAGTAATGTATCACAAATTATTGATCGTTAAAGAGTTAAAGATGAAAGACTTTTGGCCCTTCTTAGCCCCTAATTTGAGGGCTCAGCCCCTTTTTCTGGATATCAAATGAAAGGTCTTGTGATTTTGAAAACTTTTTGTTCAACAACTATTCAGAGATTTCTTTTCCTTGAGGAGATATGCTGAATGGAAATATTTAGGGGCCACCCCTCCTAGTCCTTAATGGGGCCGTTTGTCAAAAATTGAAAGGGTTCATATTGTTTATTCTAACCATCTTTTGTTTAGTATTGCTTATGAAAAGATTCCCCCTTTTCGAGATATAAAGCGTCAAAGATTTAGCATTCTGGCCCCTTTTGGTCCCTTATTACGCAATATAGAAATCAACATTTTATAATATATAGTTGCAAATTGTTAAGATAAACATTTTTGCTTCAGTAATTGATAACAAAATATTGACCATTAAAGAGTTAGAGATGAAAGATTTTTGGCCCCTCTTAGCCCCTAATTTGAAGGATCAGCCCCTTTTTCTTTATATTAAATGAAAGCTCTTATCATTGTGCACAACTTTTGTTATATATGTTTTAACAAAATATTTACAGGTATTAAGACATGAAAGAAAAAGTGCTAAATTTTGCGAGATAGTTATGATCCTATTTTTCGAGCCCTGGCGAGCTTCGGCGCCTTTTATGCTTGGAAGATATAGACCCAAAAAAGCACATCTACAATCCTTCCTCTACTTTCACTGTGAATCTCAACTCAATATCTCTATTCGTTTAGGAGTGATTGCCAGGACAAGCCGACCCTCTGAAAATCGGAAAATCGTCCATATCTCACGACCGGAAGTGACGTCATCAGAATAAAAAACTTCCAATAAGGTTCAGATCAATATCTATTAGATCTGAAAGTTTCGTGAAAATCGACCGAGCCGTTTCCGAGAACTCGCTTGCACAAAATCGGTAAGAAAAAAAAGAATAATAATAATAATAATAATAATAATAATAGGGAAAAAGAAACCGAACGAAAACAATAAGGTCTTCCGTTGAAGACGGAAGACCTTAATAATAATAAGAAGAAGAAGAAACAGAGTAAAAACAATATGTTCCCAAACTCCGTTTGGGGAACATAATTAGCGTGTGTTTACCTCAGCTAAAACACACATCTTTTATATTATAAAGCCCGAAGAATTTAGCTTATACTGTGCATTAATTAAATTGCTAACGTATATAAACTTATGAGAATTTTGGAGAGTTGTAAATAAAATTTTTACTGAATAAAAATCACGAGATTTCGTTGTGGTATCGAGTTACGTAAGTTTATCAAAATACGATCGTACATTATTTGAAACTTTTTTTTTTCTTTTCATAAGACAATTTATTATGATATATAAATATATTTCTATTAATGCACTAAGAAATACGTAACTGGCGTTAGTTATAAATGCCGAACACGTCTTTTTTAAGATATACAACTTAGAGTTTATAGAAAAAGTATTGATAATCCTGAATATGGCTTCGTTGTTTTCGTTGAATGTTTGCAATACGTACTCTGATTGCAGTATTTAGTTACTTACTTCCCTATGTAGTGAATATACGCGGTTAATCATTTGAACATTCTCAATGGTGATAATGAACAGTTCTACTTAATATGAGCTTGAATAAATATAAAAAAAAATTGCCGAAATAAAACTGTAGCAGATCAAAATTCGGTCAGCCCATGTAACTACATGTCAAATAGAGGGCGAATAAGGTTTCCTGTGTTAGAAAAGGAAGTCTCAACATAAAACTGCCTATCCATTTTTCATCGTGTAAATTACATTTTAATTTTTTTCTTTTTTTAAATATCTATTATTTCTTTTAAACTATAAAAATAAAATCAATAAGTCAAGGTAAAATGAAGGTGTTTTCTTTGCCTTCACATTTGATACCACTATGTTCATATGTATATGATTTAAGAGGGTACGCCTTTTAAGAAGTGATTCACGTATCCGGACGATTCATTTATCCGGACGATTTCGTTGGGGACGGAGGCGTCCGGATTAACGAGGCGCCACTGTATACAGAGGCCCACAATTTTCCGTAATTTAAGGAGGCTGGGGGGTCAACAAATTAACCATCAAATATAATTTAATTTTTTAGATATGATAACTTATGCTTCCAACTATCATTTGGTAAAGAAAAATTTCATACATTTTAGTTTTAAAATTTGATCATTTTTGTATATCTTTATATGGAGCTCTTCTTCAAAGGGAGATCAATATAGTCTAAAAATGGCCACAACCTCCCAGCCCTCTTAATATACAGGTTTACCAAAGTATAATAACTATCTATATGTACTAGAAGATGGGAAGTTTTAAATTATGCAAAGCAAAATTTCCACACTCCGTTATCTATAGACGTATACACCACGTTTAAAGATTCGGTTTTTTTTTTTTTTTTTTTTTTTTTTTTTTTTTTTTTTTTTTTTTTTTTTTTCTCGGAAATTGCTACTTTTTTCCACCATTTTCACAAAATATTCCTAAAATTTAAGTAGTGCAGATCCCTCAAGCAAAATAAAACATGTATATTTCAAAATATATAGATGGTTTTTCCATCAAGTTGATTTAAGCAAGAGTTATTTCCCATGGCCGCCATATTGTAGGTCAACATCCCCAGATACCTTCATAATTCAACCAAATTCAATTTGTTATACTGGGTACTGATGTGAAGATAACACTGTTTTTCTTTTGAATATTGTAAATATTTTTACCATATATTTTCGGCATGAGTTTTTAAAATTGGTTGCTCAAAGAGGAAAATTCACAACTTTGACCTACAAGATGGCGCCCAAGGGGAATAACTCTGAGGAAAAATATGTGATTGGAAAACCATCTATTGATGAAAGGCAGATGAAACCAGGGGTAAG